TGCATAGAAAATGTAATGCAAAAAGTGTTTGAAATCATGCTTGAAAATCATCGTGATCCAAAGCAGTTAAACCACACTTGATGGAATTTTCCGCTTTGTAAACGAATTACATGCAAATGAGAATGAGGTCGGGCACGAAACAGAGTTACTTAATTTAACTGCGTTTATTGTCACCTATTTATTCATTCTAGCTTGACAACTTGAGTTTCTTTGGACGTTTCAAACTTGGTTTTGCTCTCGAAATAGAAGATCGCGTGCAATATATTAACATGAACAATCCTAAGTGTCGAAACAACCTTTCTGTTCCGCTCTGCGTGCGTCTATGTCGACATTTGTCATTGCTTCACGGAACATGACAAAGCGTAGTTCTTAGGCATTTCGGTTTCTTTAATTTACGAAAATGAAAAACACTGACGTCGACATTTCGGGACGATGCTTGAACTGTCGATGGTGTTTAATCAGATATGAATGTATCTGATATGAATGTATCGTCTTCACATAGCTATGTTTTGTTCATGTCCTATTTTATATCAGTTAGAAATACTCCCTCGCAGGTAAGTCACAAATTCATTAGACCCTCCTTCAATATTCAATATCTTTATGGTGCATTAGTGCGAAAAAAGTATGTAAATCTATACTTTCGATCCTTTCTCTAAAGGAAAATACGTCACAATTTTGAAATGCAGGGCGGTTCTAAATTTAAAACTTCCCATTAACTTGATGAAGCTCAATAAACTCAGCCGACTTCATTCAATTCAGCGTTAGACATCGAGTTGATAACATCTTTTCGCTATTCAAAGAAGTCCGTTGTTGACTCACTTACCCGTGAAGAACATTCAGGTGAGTCTCTTGATGCATAACATGTTTATCTATCAGACATAGTTTGATGCTACTCTGGTTTGCAGACTTAATGAATGTAACTGAAAAAGTTACAATTCATAGACCCAACGTTTCGACACTCCTGTCTAGTGCCTTCATCAGGGGTGATCTAAGTGCTGCAACAAGAGGTCCTTTTATATGATCACTAATTAGCGGCCTTTTTCTGACGAGGTGTAAATAGGCGTCAGGAAGCAAACCGCCATCGTCACGATTTAAAGGAGCTTGGGCGGAGTTAATATGCCAAGCCTCCAAACAAAGGCGCTGGTGGTAACGCCGATTAGTGGTGATAATTTTAGAATTATCCCACCCAATTGTATGGTTGGTTAGGCATGTATGTTCTGATAAAGCTGAATTTTCCTTTTTGAAAAAGAAAAACCGCTTTTTGGTGCTCTTTTAACCGTGTACCACACTGACGTTTGGTCTGTCCGATGTATTCGTTGTCACAGTCATTGCAAGGAATAGAATAAATGGCGTCGGTTCGTTATGTGCATACATCTCAACTTGAGGCTGGTTCAATGGATTTTTAAATAAGTAGAGAGGCTTTTTTTCTTACGCGGATGGAGAAGCATCGTTATGAATTGGCAGAGCGATCTGTTCAAGACAACTCTTTCTACAGTGACCCAAATTTCAAAATAGATCATTACAGAAAGCTGTATCGAAAAGCACAGGTTTCTTTCTAGAAGCATTGAAGATCATCAAAATTGAAAACATACTGACCGGCAAACACTCTTTTTGATCTCTCTAGTAAGCTTTGTTACTTTCTTTAAATCCGCGACGGTGTTTTAATCATTAGTGTACTTATTTAAAAATCAAGTTTTTTTTATCCCAGCAGATTACTATGGACTCAGTAGTGATGTTTATTGGCCTGATACAAGTTATATTGGTCTTGTGGATTGTAACACCTTGCGAGAGTGATGTTTGCAGCCAAAAATTCTGTCAATGTACCAATTTCGGTAGGACCCGTGTGGTAGTTAAATGCCAAGTTCATGGATACATTCCAACTGGAATCCCAAGCAATACAATTGAACTGTAAGTGATTAAAAAAACTAAACCTTTCTTCAGAAAGAGAACCGAGTCATGGTTTGAGCTAGGTTTGCTATTTGAAAGCAATGTTTGGTTTATCTGTTGAATAAGAAAAAAAAAAAGCACATTTAAAAATTTACCAGGCAATAACACCCATCTGAAACCTTTGTTTAGTTTTCTAAAATATGTTTTTCTTAACTTTTTAGCGTAGCTTCGTGCTTTTAAAATGATACGAGTGTTGCAACTAATTTCATTGTCAATTTCTTCATTAGGAAACTTTCGAGTTGTTCGTTAAAGTCGATTTCAGAAGACTCCTTCAGGAACCTAACTGTTTTAAAAGTACTGTAAGTAAATAATTTTAAAGTATGGGATAGATTCAGCTTAAAATTAATAGGCTAGTATATTTATTGTTATTGTTATCATAATTATCACTATCATCGTAGCTATTATTATTTTAAACTTTTGTGAAATTTAATAACCATTAGACATGTATTGAAGGGAAAAACCAAATAGAGTAAGCTTCGCCGTTAGTATTACAGATCCTTGCGCCGTGATATATTTGCAATAACGTTTACAATATGTATGCCTACCTGTAATAGAAATTTGAGGACAGGGTTGCCTTAAAAGAACTTAAGAACAAGTCTCTGTAAGAATCAAACATCTTGGGAAGTGAAAATTTTCAACCCCCCTTCAAATTTTGCATGCAGTTAGGCGCTCAGGGGGATGCACAAAAATGCTCTTTTTAAAGGGCGCAGCACTCTTGTAGCCATGGTAACAACGGCTGCTTGTTCGAAGCCTGGGGCCTCATTTTCATACAAAAACGTCGCAAAAAGAGAGTGAAATGTTTATTTCTCTATCTCAAGCTAAATACAACATTACAAATTGGCACTTCTACCATACACAGCAATATCATTCATCTTCACATTGATACAGTCAATTTTCCCTGGGAGTGAAGTTGAACACACTAACAGATTATTCATTTCGGTACAGTTCCGTTCATCTTTGTTGTCGGGCAAAACAGGGAAAACGTTTATCTGAATTTCTCCAAAAGTACAGCGATTCTGGAACTGAAACTAACCACATAGCTGGTTATAATATTCTAGTTTTTAAAAATGTTAAAATCTTTGCGGGCTTGCCTTTACTTTCCATAGGAGCAATTTCGCGAACGAAGCTCAAAAATCAGATATTGCATAATTTGGCGATGTTTACATCGAATGTTCTCGACAACAAATGTTTCAGAAAAATGAAACATCTAAAACTTTGAAAGGATGTCATCTTATGAACAATATCCCGAAGAGAAATCTCGCCTCTGCTTGTCATCTTTTAAAAAAAAATTGATCAACCTTCATGGAGGACTACTCGACGTAACTACAAACATTAACCTCAAATCGTGTGCATATCATCCAGATTCCGAGTGCTACACCTTCTTCTTACAGTCATTTGATTACTGGGGCGCTGCTTGGAATTTCAAAAACAATGAAAATTTCTCAAAACACTTAGTCTGAAGTCAGACATGAGAATTCTAAAAGCAGAGTTGAGAAGATGACCAGACATTAGCATTCCGATACCTACCACAAAAAAAAAAAAAGAACATAGGGATTTTTTTTATGGAGAGACTATCAGAGTTTTAGCACTATTAGATTTTGCTGATTATCTGTAAGCTTCTTGAAAAAAACAAAACAAAACAAAACTATATTAACCTATCTGAATGAAGAATTTTTTATCATTTACTTTCATGTACAAATGTTCAAATGGAGTGCAGTGAATCGAAGCAAATTTTGCATGTATTTTAATTCGGCAAGCTTTGATTGATAATTGTAATAATTTTTTTCATTCTAGTGACTTGTCGAATAACTTATTAAGACGCATTCCCCACAACACTTTCAGGAATATGGATAAGCTGGAAATAGTGTAAGAATGCGTTTACTTATAATGAATGAGTGGGTTGATATGTTTGTCCGTTTAAAAGCATTTTCTGTCCACAAATTTTTCAGCTCCTGTGTTTTCACTAATCCCAATCCCTCTAATTTATAATTGTGAATCTATTTACTGCTTCAAAATCTTAAGCTAAAAGTAACTAAATATATAAATTTTAGATTAACGATGTGATATGCAATTTCTGAGCTTCATATTTTTGGAACTTACAATTGCTTCCCTAGAAATCTTGCCGACAACCTAATTTCAGGGAGTTTCTTCCTTCCGGAAAGTGTATCTCAGCTGTGAGTTTTGCTAATGATGTATTTTTGAAAAGATAGAATAAACATATTAAAATTCGCCACTGATTTTTATCCTTACATTAAATTGTAGCTTTTTCGTCAGATCGCCCTTTTTTTTCTTTATATCGCAAGCAAACACAGAAGACCTTCGATAAATGTAATGCAAGCAAATATGAATTTCCTCTTTCTCTCTAAAAAAAAGATCGTCAGGTCTGCAACTTAAGCTGTTAGTTAATGTGAAGCAATCACAATAAAAGTATATGGAGAGAAAATTTACGGTGTTTGCTGGCTTATGTCTCTTACCTAATGGACGTTTTTCAGAATGTTTTAAAACTTAGTAAATTCATTAAAAGTCAATGTTAAAAATTTACTTGCATAGCGTTATCAAACACAACTTTCTATCAAGTACTGACGCAAAAGTCATTCTCAAAGGATTAAAACGGCTTCGAAAACTGTAAGTACGACCTTTTATCCTGTTCCACATGCTTACAGAATCAATAATATATGTCGTACAAGTAAAAGGAAAAAAAAAAAAAAATATGAAAGAAATAAGGAAGTTATGGAAGTATGGACCCGTAAGCCTAGTCCACGATCCAGTTCTCGTGAACTCATTGCCAGCGAATCGGAGCGGGGTATCCGAAAGTATTGGTTTAAATATTTAATGAAAAATTCATTTTTTCCCTATAGTTACACGCTCGTGATGAAAATAATAACTGCTTTCTCTGTTTCTAAGTTCAAGCTAAAAACTTACCATGTTTCTTCCATAACCATGGTTTTTATGGCCAATCAGAGCGCACGTACTATTTGAATTATTTTATAAACTTAGTTCCTGTCTATACACCAAACGGTCAAACGTTATCTAACAAGGATATCCTGCTCATTGTGCACTTTTACAGAAATATTGATTCAAATCCACTTGGACCTACTTTGCCATCCGACTTCTTCGCTGGCTTTAATCAGATGGATCTTCTGTAAGTTAGTAGCTCTAGAAAATTCTCCAATGATTTCGAAACTTGTAACAAAAACGCCGTGTGCGAACGTGATCAGTCACGTGCATGCTTGACTACTCTCTCACTATTCCTTTTAGATAACGTCCCTTGTTTTACATAGTTTTTTCCCAGCTTTTAGCTCCCGGATGTTGTTTATTTAGCCAACTGATTTGTGCTCCTTTGGGTCGATTCGGCTTTTTCTTTTTCGACAAAGTGGCCATACCAATAACTACGCCTGAAATTCAATGATTATTCGTTTTAAAGTGTCTGCTATCACCAGACATGTTTCGTACGAGTTACAATCAATTTGATAAAGCTGGATCAACATAGAAAGTTACGTTATTTTCTTGCGGGTTCAATTTTACAAAGAGTGACAACAACAAACTTTAGATGAAATACATGTTTTTCACCTCTTTAGAGGTTGGCTGCCATCCTGTACACAAAGTTGTTTTAAACTACCAGTTCAATAAATTCTAAAAACTCGAAGTTCCCCCTCGCGATCCAGCTCTTTCAATAAAACTCTTGACTATTGAGATATGACTTAGGAATGTTGTTTGTACTTTGGCTGAAAAAAAAAACAAAAAAACAAAAAAACAAAAAAACAAAAAAACAAAAAAACAAAAAAACAAAAAAACAAAAAAACAAAAAAACAAAAAAAACAAAAAAAGCATTGGAAGTGACAGAGAATTCATTAGTGATAGACTTGTCTCATAAATCCACTGTCAGAACTTTCCATACTTACATTGTTTGGCAGTTTCCCCTACTCTTTCCTTCACTTCAAACTATTTCTCGACTTTTTTTTCACAGTACCATGAGTGGGTGCCACCTTGAAGATATCGAAAATGGAACATTTAAAGCCATGCAAAATCTTACAGAACTGTGAGTAAATTGTTCTTAGATATTATTATTGATTTTTCAGATGTCCAAGCGATCGTCTGTGCGCGATATGCATCGTGAGAAAAGCGGTCTTAAAGTTATATGTACACAATTAGCTAGATCAAGAAGTTGTGTGTTATGTTCTGTTATGCAAACACTTTTCTTGACGTTTGACTTAGGCAGTCTTAGCAGGTTTATTTTGCCGAAACTTTTCTAATCCCGACCATCCGCAAGTCATTATACATTTGTCCGTTTTTAGTGATCTGTCCTTCAATAAGCTGAATCATATACACAAGGGCACGGTGGAAGGACTTACGGATCAGCTCACAAATCTGTAAGTAAATCGTCGTTAAGGAACACCGTTCTTTGCATAATAATAACAACTTACTAAAAAGAACTTTTCAAGAGACCTCGATCGTTTCTATGGACAGTGGTCTAAACCACGGATAGCACTTCTGGTACCCGCCTCATTTATTTCACATTTGAATAGATAGGCTGATTGACTTTCATATGCATCTATGCAAAGCAGAAGCAATACGACCCTTCTTCCCCCCTTCCCCCTCGCCTCCACAGAAAAAAAAAAGAGCAAAAAAAGAATGATTTTGACTCTCCTAACAACTGATAGGTTCCTTCACGGAAACGAATTAGAGACCATAGGTGATGGAACGTTTAAACAGTTTAAAGTTCTCGATAGCTGGTAAGTGAGACACCAAGTGCAAGATAAACAGATACTGTAGACCTGAAATACTTATATCTATACCAAGAGGATATGAACAATTTTTTTGTTTACGGCCATGTGGCGCTAAAGGCATCTCGCCCGAAGTCATGTTGCCCTAAATCCTGAGTCATGTCGCCCAATTTTTTTCAATCACAAGTAAAAACATCAACATGACATATATTGCTTTGTTCGACGCTTGATCGGGAGTAGCACTAAATAGTCGTAAATTCCCAATCAAACGTAGAAGATTAAATAATGTATGACAGGAAAAAGAGGAAGGAAAATAAGATACTGAAGAAATGAAACATTTTTCTGATTCGACATGACAGCTTGAAGTGGGTTAAGTTTCAACGTATTGCGGTAAAGATGTCATGCATTAAAAACATCCGGAAATCTGCAATTTAAAAGTTATCTTTGAGTTTGCACTGAAAACGTTTTGCCATGTTTTATATACTATATCCTGTAGCTCCTTGTTTGTGGACCATATATGATCGAGGCCCTGAGAAGGACATTGCTTATTGCTAAGAAAAACACGATAGCGTACTGTTCATTTGCTTTTTTTTCTGTTGTTGTTTGTACGATTTCTACAGCATTCTTGGAGAGAACAGGCTAACATCTGTACCAGATTTGAAAGGTCCTAAGGTTATTGGACATCTGTAAGTATGGTGCGCCGATCAATTCTTAGCTTCAAAATTGCCCCCCTTCCTTCCCTCTTGGCAATCCACGGTCATTTGACCGTTGCCAGTGCCCAATGGGGTTGGGAAACCTTGCCTTGCTGGGGTGGGCAATTTGAACCGGAAGTGTTGAGTCTTTCATGTGGAAGACAAGTGTTCAATCTTTAAAATATGGAGGTGCACGTCTTGGGCAAATAGTTCACTTTTGCGAGGAATTGCTTAGAAGAAAAGATCTACGAAGTGTAGGCTTTAAAGATTGGTCAATATGTAGAAAGTCTTGGTTGCTGTGCAAAAAAAAGGAAAAAAAATAAGTGGGGCATTTGAACATAACTTTTGCTCCGGGAGCGGGAATTTGAACGAACCAATCTTCAAAAGTTCAAAACCCGGGGGTGCCTGGGGAGGATGTTGAAGCTTCGATCGATTGACGCATAACCTTGTAATACGTACTCTTCTTAAATTGCAATAACTGTTATGGTTTAATAAGATAACAAATGATAACACAGCCTTCAGAGATTATAAAATGGTTTATAATATCTGAACACCATCTAACGACAACTGGTAAAGATGGTTATTGTAACATTTCCTTCTATTGTTGGAAAGAACTACTCCGTGTTTTTTGTTTCTACATTTTCGTGACTTTAATCATCCTTGCATGATCAAATTCCATTTATTTGGAGACAGTAAGTCTTCTCAAAAGCTTACCACAGGGTGCCACAAATTGAGACTGGGTTCAGTTCAAGGTGAGCGTCGATTCAGAAGATCTTCAACAGTACGCAATATAACGTGTTCAAATGATTCTAATTGAAAGACTTCGCTCAAGTATCAAAGGTAGCACAAGGAAGAAAATTCCAATAAGTTTTCACAATTTTTTTAAAGTTGTTGTTGTGCTTTTTGCAGACAATTAAATAAGAATCGGATCAAAGATATATCAAGAATTGAAACATCTGGAATTAAACACCTCTTTGAGCTGTAAGTATACAAGTGACTTTCTGTGAGTAGACGTTTCCATTTTGTTTCATGCAGTAAATTCTTGTGATCAGATTCATTGGTGCGAGCGTGATCCATATTCCCAGTCCGTGCCGATGCCATGCCTGTCTGCATTGCAGCGTAGTAGATCGAATTTCCCCTTACAGAAAATTCAAACGAGCGCCATGAATATCTTACAAAACAAATTGGTTCAAACGTCAGCTACGACATAAAGCACGCACAAAGATCGGTCAGCAACCAAGAACCTACAGTTGACACCGAGCTTTTTCCGTGCATTCAATATTTCATGCATGCTTCATATTATTATGAATGCACGCTGGTACAAGAAACAATGGTAAAATATTTAAGAAAGCGACTTAATTTTCTCTATAGTAATAAGGTTTACCTTTCCTCAAATTTAAGTGCCGTAATCATATTCTTTCTTACGTTTTAGAACATCATTTTGGACTTTTGACATCGAGTAGTTTTCGGAGATAAAGTTAGCGATGATTCTTCGAAAGCAATTACGTTAATAAAAAGTAAAAGATGCAAAATTCAGGTTTTCAAAAGATCAAGAGCGCAATTTGGAGTAGATGAGTGGGCAGTTTTCAGGCTTTATTCCTAATAATATACACGAAGAAATTACTTAGTTCTGATTGGTTAAGATAAATGCAGTTTTCAGGTATTTCAGTGCAGAAGAGGGTTAATTCAGTGCAGAGAAGTATAACAAACCAGACATTCTGATTGGTCAATAAACAAAGAAAATCATAGACAGCCAATCAAGTGCGAGCCTTAGATTTCGCAACTTTTGGATACGCTGAACATTTGCGAGCAAAACAATGGTCGGCATTTCAATTAGGTTTTCTTTCGCCACCGCAACAACAATACAGTAGCTGAGAAACAGCTCTAACAACGAAAACGCTGTAAAAAGTACTGCTCTTTGGTGTTCGGAGAAGGGAATTACAAGGAAATCGAAAATTACTAGCCGACCCAGCTTAACACTTAACTCGAGCGATTCTACGCCGAAACTAGTCACAAACATGGTTAAACCTCGCAAACGACGATTCCATTTCATCGAAAGTGATTCGGACATACACTGAATGATTCCTTGAACTGTTTAGCCGGACATTGGACTTTTTTGCACCTTAAAGATGTGAAAACATCATGGTGTATAATTGTTTTTATTGTACGCGGTTGTTATGACCGAACGCACAAAGTCACTTGCAGGGTTTGAGTAAAATTGTATTTGCACTTGAAGTGTGCGCTTTGCTTCTGCATGATTATGATAAGCTATCTCGTATTTTTTCATGTAAATTATTAATACGTAATCAAATGATTTTTCTCGTACAATGTTGAATATATAAGCACTTGTTCATTTTTCAAAGACCACAAATTGTATTCGCCCTACGGGCTAGTGCAATTTTGTTAGTCTTTGAAAAAAATTTCAAGTGCTTATTTATTCCAAATTGCACTGGAAATCATGTGATTATCTCTACAAATTGCACGTGAATGATTCTCTATTACCTATAACATAATAATTATGCGAAAGCAAACAGCTTATCACGTGCAAAACTGATTCACTCAAAATTTACAAATGCTCTTGTGTTTCAGACAAAAGAGCAATGTTCATTAAAAAAAAAAAAGCGATATTCTATTATGTTTCTTTATGGTCATTAATTTTGATATCAAAAGCCCGGATAAAAATTATGTTGCCTCTTTTCGAATTACCAATTTTCTACTCTGTATTTCTTTTCTATGCATTGTTTTATGAAAAAATGCATTTCGCAAGTCAATCAGTTGGAGGTATTTTTTTCTTATTCTTATTGCGTAAAGCTTAACGTCCCTCGATGTTATGCCTATCGAATAAACTTTTAAGTTTAAAAACAAATAACACTTTTATCTTGTAGGTTGTTGTCTAACAATGAAATCGATTATCTTCCACCAAACATATTTCAAAACATTTCCATAGTGGGATCCATGTAAGTAAGATTTAATATAATGGCAGGCAAGGAAAGTAAAATCGAGACATCTTTACCACGAATAAATCCATGAAGCTCCTATAGTTTTTTTCTTTTTTTTGTCGTGGTGTACCTTCTGAATGATGTTTAACCAGGTATGATAGACTTTCCTGGGTTTTTCTTCACTTCCAAAAGGTTCACCTGTTCATGGATTTTTATAATGGTCATGTAACGCTTTTGAGTGGTATACCATAGAATATCCCACGAGTTTTTGTATTTTCTCGGTATATGCATACCTCTCTGATCTCCGTCGACCTTTCGAATCTCTCGAAAATAAAGTGATAATGGCATAGTGGTCATCCAATTAGGCTGGGGGAATTTCCGTCAGACCTCTTTCCTTTAAAAACGAGTTAGTTGTTGATTTAAGTCGACAAACTTACTTCCATCCGAACTCGTTTTCTTCACTGCTCTTAAGTTTCTTCGCCTTTCAGCGAAAATATCAACTTCTTGATCAGTCAACTATATCTTTTTGGTTAAATATTTATTTTTACTGAGTTTTCGACCTCATGAATTAACGTCCTGGGAATATTTGGCTCTGACACGGCTCAAACAACACCTAAAATGAACTGGAAACGCCGCCACCGCTCGCTGAATTTCGGCAGAATAAGATCAGAAAGGGCGGCTGCAATACTGTCGAATATACAACTGATTTCTTTTATTCTGGTTCGTTGTATTTTTAATAGTATGGTACCAACAGCTATAGAAGTAAATACTGTAGGTGCGTCTGTTTCTTATCCCTAATCTTATCCATGTTATCTTCCTGATAGTGACTTGTCATTCAACAAATTGCAGTCCATACCAGATGGCTTATTCAATAAGCTTGGAAAATTACAAATTCTGTGAGTAAATATTCAGCGCACTTTTCCCAAATTTATGATGAATTAATTATGTTGTTACCAGCAATATCCTGTTGGAGAAGGAACATTGCTATTTGCCCTCCTCCCTTAAAACCAGCCACAGAAAAACGCTTCAAGTATTTTTAAATTAACGCTGACTGCTTTCTGGGAGGTTGTTTAATAAAAAACTTCGATCTGATGCCGCAAGCCAAATTGCGACTTATCAAAAAGTGATATTGATATTATTACTATTATCCTCATAACCATTATTATTGTTATTCAAATGGTACAATTGTTCACAATGCTCTTTTTTATAAATCAAGGATGATTAGCTTCAACAACATATCCAACATAAACAATCATACTTTTGAAGGACTTTCAAGCTTGGAGACGCTGTAAGCTGGTTTTTTGGTTTTTCATGTCTGTAATCCCTCCCTCCCTAATTAACTCACTCGTTAATCAATAAATCGCCTCTTGGTTTTTATTTATGTACTTATTTCTTTATTCAATCATATTATGTCTACAATCCTTTCTTAAATAGCTTTTGTGTTTAATACTCTTATTCAATTTACAGGATGCTGATAAAGAACAAACTGACTTTTATTTCCAACGGTGTTTTTGATGAAACTGCTTTGCAATCAGTGTAAGTACATATACGTTTCAGAAAGTTAACGTATATCCTGGAATATATATAATAAGCCTAAATATTCAAGGAAACCAGTTAAAAGAAAATAGAGGCTTCATTGTAAAACACGCGGGGCATGATATATGGATGACAACGTCTATATATCAACATGGTTTGACCACGTAATCTCCGGGTTGAATTAGTTGGAACTGAGGAAAATTCAACCATCCTATAAACATGAATGTTTCAATGCGTAACATAGATTGCGAGCGCTGACTCCTGTTTGTGTTAACAATATGACAAATTTGACTTGTTTGAATTTGTTTTGTTTTGTTTAGTTTTTTGTTATCATTTCTTCCTTTATATAGTTTCCTTCACAGTAATGCCATCAAAACGATTGGAAGTGAATCCTTCAGCAGACTTAAACTGAAACAAATGTGAGTAAATTGAAAAATAAAGTGAAGTTTTAAACGCTACAATGAAATGTATTAATCAAGCTTACCAATTTGGCTTCAAGGGGATCATTGATCTGTGTTTACGGAATTGTTGCCTTGTGAGACTTTATTAATCCTTTACACCCTTAGAGTGAATATTCTCCAAACTGTTTTCTATACGTTTTGTAAGGTGCTGGTAAGGAGAATCTGTTTAACAATTAAGAGCTTCTTCGGTTGGCGATCACCTCTATTCTTCTCCCGACCTAAGTGTTTAATTCAGGGATGATATTGTTAGGAGAAATTGGATGCCAGTCACTCTAAGGGGTCAAAGGGTAAATTTTGCACAAAAAACGGTAGCCACATCAACCATATGGTAACAAAAAACAAAACGCCATGTCTCTATAATTATGTGTAGGCTTGAGTTAATCATTAACCTTATTATTGACATTTTTTTCAGTACTATCTTTGATAATCCTCTACACTCGTTACCAGATGGAATGTTCGACAAAATGGACACCGAAACCAAAGTGTAAGTGAATCCAAAGCACTCGTTTGAATATTTTAAAGATGACTATCGCCTTTCGAAAGACCACATCTTGATTTAACGAAGATCGTCAAGGTTGTAGGAGAGATTAATAAGCTTTTAAATCTAAGCTGACCTCAATGTTGTTTTTTCATCTGTTGATTTTCTCATAAGGATATGCGATTGCGTATTGGTTAACGCACCGGACTCAAATTGAATAGACTGGGTTCCAAACAAGCTAAGCGAGTTCATTATATGATGTTCTCGAGCGGGAGATTCTACTCCATAACTCTCCTTACACCTATAAGAATAAATTTGCACGCGAAAATTGGGCAAATGGGGTTAAGGTCCTGGAGAAACTATGGTGCTGCATGTGTGAGGGTAGGCGGGGGGGAGGCGGGGGAGGGAAAGGGGGAGAAGGGGGGGGAGAAGGGGGGAGAAGGGGGGAGAGGGGGGGAAAAGGGGTCTTATAAGATAATCTGAAATCACTGCGGTAAGCTGACGTTGAGAGCGTTGGCCCATCGGCAGATGGAATGCTCGTCCCTTTACAGTACAAAAACCGCGATAAACGACCGCCGTTGGTGGGGACCACAGATCTTAAGAGTTCGCTCCTGCAATTAAAATTATCATCAAAATAATCTACAGATCATTGACATGTAAAAACCTTCTTCAGCTGCCGAAAGGACAGTATCAGTCAGTAATGTGAGTAAACCTAATGTTGACGTTTTAAGATGACTTATTTCATATATCATATCTTGGCATCTGTACTATTAGATTCATTGTTTCCAGACGATACGCGCTTGAGTCAGGAGCCCATAATGGCTCCTGCTAAAGTCTACTGAATTGAGTATTTGTTATAATTAAAATTTCAATTGCTTTCAATATTTTGCTATTTTCTTAAACTTAAGTGACTGTGCCCCCTCCACTACATTCAATATACTTTTGACCGGAGAACAATCTAGCTACAGTGATGGCCTGGAAAGTTCAGGCTTTGAGTGCCATTCCTGTGGGCCTCATCCCAGTAGCTCCCGATGTCGTAACTGCTCTCTTTGTCAAGTTGGTTATTTCATGCACGCCAAACAGATGTGTGTCAAGTGTCCTGCAGGTGACAAAAGACATTTAAAATGCTTCATGTCATAGTTAATTAATTTTGGAACAACAACAACATTACTAGAGAAAATTCGAGCCGTTGTTAGTTACGTTCTTTTAATAGAAGAGGTCTCAAGCTTGGTCACTCCAAGTGCTAGTATCCTAACTTAAATTTTCCCTCTATCCCATTATCGTTTCCTTTGCTCTCGTTTTTAAAGTTTTCATCCCTGCCTTCTTTTTTACATTAGTTGGTTCAGCGTATAAAGTGAGCTGATGCCTGTAGGGCCACCGCCAATAAGGCCAGTTTTCACTCATAATAGTTTTATGTCGTTGCATCCTTCTTACACAATATCTGGTGGCTACCGTTTCATTTCCGTTTTGGTTTCATTTCCGGTTTTACGCTACGTTGCGTGTCACGTGACAATTTGCACGTGCTTTGACATTTTGGAGAGAGTTTTACCTTCGTGTAGCTGTTTTGGTTCGCAGAACAGTTCTTTAACGTGATCGTGATTGTGATCGTGATTGCGTTATTGCGATTTCCCTTTTTCTTGTACGTTATCTTGTAAAGGCGAAAGCTACATATCTTCACAGGTGGTTTTTATCAGGATGAAATGGGACAAGTTGATTGCAAAAGATGCAGCATTGGTACATTTGTGTCTGAAACGCGACATCCTGGGACAAGTCCTACGGACTGTGTGGCATGTCCATACGGTAACTGATGTTTTGTCTCTGAGACACTCTTAAAATTTTTCACCATGAAAACTTCTCCCTGCATGACATTCCATGTGTGGTTCATAGCATTGCAGAGAAAAGAAAAAAACTTTTCTTCTCAATCCAAAACGGAAACGGCTGGCAAATTAATTTCTCGCCAGTTTGAGTACCGCTGGACGCCATTTTGCGTCCAGAAGTAGAACCTATCCTTGGAGCTAATTCCTAACTAACTGTAAGCGGTTTGATGAGTTGAATTTATTTTTAAGGTTGGTTTTGCGCCTTTGTACCAAATAATGTGAATAAACTATTTATCTAAATTGCAGGTACTCTCTCCAACGAGACTGCGGAATATCGAGCATGCAGATGCCTTCAAAACTTTTATCGGTTGGATCGTTTTGGTCCGTGCTCAGCATGTCCACCACACGGTTTTGTTTGTGAGAATGATACAGCAATACTTGCTCCTAACTTCTTCTGGAAATGGTCAAATCAGTCTGAAAAAGAATTCTTTAAAGGTTTTGTTAATAACATCCACTCTTCTAAACAAGACTACGACAAGTTATATTCTACGTTTAATACTTTACTTCCAAACCCACTCAAATGTCCTTATGCCAGGTCTTGCGAGGGTGGAATCGACTCTAAATGCCATCATGGATATAAAGGAGTTCTGTGTGCAACCTGCTCTAACGGCTTTTATTTCCGATTTCACGCTTGCTTGAAATGTCCACGGTTAACTATAACAGTTACTTCGTCCATCTTGGTAATTGCTCTTTTTGTTGCTGTGTTTCTAATGGTTCTTTGGGGTGACTCCAAACGTGCAGAGAATAACCGGACGGTTGCAGATGTCGTCATGTCGTGCTTTAAGATTGTGATTGGTTTTTACCAAGTCATTGCTGGAATTTTCTCGGCATTAGCGAAAGTCCAGTGGCCAGTCATTTTGATCTCAACGGAGAAGGTTCTAAAAGTGTTTGAAGGGAACATCTTGCAGTTTGCGCCACTAAGCTGCATTCATTCTTCCCTGCGTCTCGATGAGCTCGGAAAGTTCACAGTGATCGTTGCTTTAAATGTCCTACTTGTCGGCTTGATTTTCCTTTATCTTTTCGTTAAAAGACGCTACATTATAAACAAAACTGACAGTACGGAAAGCCAAAAAATGAGGGAAGTTAAGAGTTTGAAGAAATCTTGCTATCGGAACATTTTCCTATTGTTGTTAACGACTTACCCCACGACGAGCAAGTCGATTATTCAAATTCTACCTCTTCCCGGTGCGTGTGTAGAAACGTGTTTCTCAAACGAAAAGCTCGACTGTATCTTCCTTCTGAGAGCTGACTACTCTATCCAGTGTTTCACTCCTCGCCACAGCTTGTATTGGCTCATGGCCTCTATTCTGGCATTATATCCCGTAGGATTTCCACTTTTGGCTTTGTTTCTCACTTACAAATATCGGGAGTCCCATGAAAACGAAACAGTCTCTTTCGGGCTCAGAGTGTTCTTTGAAAACTACAAGAAGAAATTTTGGTTTTGGGAGATCATAGAGATGTACCGCAAACTGATATTGATCTCATTGATTTTCCTATTTGGATCTAAAAGCCTTCCTCAAATCGGTCTCACAGTTCTGACAGTCAGCGTCTTTGGAGTGCTCTACACCGTATTCCGACCAATCAAGGACAAGTTTGAAGACCGCTTACAAACATTTGTTCTTTGGATAATTTTCTTTGACGTTTGTCTTGGTGCAGTTTACACAAACCGGGATGAGAGTCAAGGAGGGGACAAGAACGACTCCATCTTTGTAAATGTCCTGTTCGTGGTCCTTAACGCCTCTATATTGTTATTTGCCATTGGTAAGTCATAGCGCTGCTCTTTACGTTTTATCGATCAATTTAACTTTACATTCACATATATTAAAAGTGCAAATAGCAATTACCGGGAAGTTTTAAGGAATTCGAAGTGGGATGTCTAAATGTCGCGTCTGTGCAATTGAACATCATATGTTGTGTATATTTAGGCATTTCCACTTTGCTTTTTCATATTGCTTCATATTTTGTCATTCCGTTCTTAGTTATGTTATCACCGAAAACTAAGTGTTTTTGTATTCTTAGAGCAATTACTTCGGAGAAAATCTTGCATGTTATTGTATAAAAGCAATTAATGCAATATAGCTGGCACTCTTCGGTAGAAAGCTTTGCAGTTATCGTTCGTCATACAACCTAATTGGATTAGTGAATAATATTAGTTGCTCAGATCACTAAGTTTTCCTCAGTTATTCAAGCAGCCAGCACGAAAACTGTCCATATATATCTTGCTTGAGAGTCATGCCTTATCAAATACCAAGAAAACGCCTCAGTGAATATAATAAGCTTCTATTTTATACATACTGAGATTAACACTGTGAAGTACTATTGTTCGTGTCTCTGATTGGACGAAAGATGTATTTTCACAATCGTTCACTTCCCTTCTTTGAAATGGGTCGGTCATTAAGAAAAAATGATGAGAATACACTCCCTCCCATAGCCTTAGACAAGTCAAGAAGAATTGTTCTTAAAAAAAGTCAGAATGCGAGTTATTGGGAAATTTTGGTTAACCCTAACCCTAAGAGGTTTCTCGTTAGCACGTTATACAAAAATACAAATGTCATTGAAAAATTGATAATTATGCTATTCTGTTCTTATCTTTTACTGCGTCAGGAAAGGGAATATCACATGTGAAGTTATTTCGCAAGTACTTTTCCTTCTGCCCGATGAGATGTTTCAATTTCCTTCGCCAAGGACTGGCGCCTCTTAAGAATAAAGCGGTCACCACAACACCTGAAGAATCATTCTTGATCTAGGATGGCACCCAAGAGCCTCGCCGATATATTCTATCTATACCGTTATAACATATCTCGAAAAAAAAACAACAACAACAAGATCAAGAACAACACCAACAACAGAAACATAGTTGAAGGGGTTTACCTTAAACGGCTTGATTACTTCGTTCATGTTACCTCTCATGATCAAGCCTTAACACCTCCCCTCCCCTCGGCAATTCAACGGCTTTTGACTGTCGTCCGTGCCCTAGGGGTGTGGAGTTTGAACCTTGCCTGGCTGGGTGGGAATTTGAAACGGAAGTGTTTAGTATTTCCATCGAAATACAAGCGTGTATTTCTTTAAATATCGAGGTGCTTAAATCTTGAGAATTAACTTTCGCGAGCGAAACTGGATGAGAAGAAAAGGTGTGCGATCTTAAGGTATTAAAGCTCAGTCAATGTGCAGATAGTCACAGTCGCCAATCTTGCCTTTTACCAAAAAAAAAATTGACCATAAATCCGGCACTTGGTAAGGGCATTTGAACACAATTTAGCCTGACCCGGCATACGGGAATTTGAACAAATCAGTCATTAAAAGTTCAAATGGCTAGGGTTTGCCCTTGGTGAGGGGAATGTTGAAGCTTCATTACATACACCGAACTGCCAATTGGTTAGCCTTCGTAATTACTGAGCTAGGTTTAAAAAGAAAACACTTGTGTTCGCGCAAGGAGGCCACTCGATGGAGGGTCCCTATGGGGTGATGGCTTTTACGGCTAACAGTCAAAATGTTGGTCAATGTACGGCTAACGGTTAATATCCCTCCATAGCAGTCACGAGAATTTTTTCTCACGGTTTTCTTTTTTAAGAGTAACGGTTGAAATTTGTGAGTACTTTTGCTTAATGGCTGGCTGATTTTTTTGGCCTTTTTACGGCTATCGGTTAACCTCATTGCGAGCCTCTTGAAGTTCTAGGCAGTATATGTCGCGCAGTCTGCAGCCCCTCCCTGCATCTAGGCAGTTCGGAAAGCTGCAAAACTCTGGAACAAAAATCGAAAGTATCCATCGAGCTGCTTTAGGAATGAAACAAGCTAGGAGAAACACGAGGAGATCTATAGGTTGAGGTCCAGTTTGTTTCGGAAAGATCCAAAGGTTTTTGAGCTGCCACTCCTCGCTATTTTTAACTACAAACACTGTCACAGTTTATTCAACTCTAAACTTTTTTTCAGTGATGTCTTTGGCTAATTTAAGTGAATAATCTCGGTATTTTATTTTAACTGCACTATTCTTTCCAATGAACCGCTCAGTAGCCGACGCATTCCACGGAATAGCCTTCAGGCGTCTTATACTGTAAATAAAACGCACAACCAAGAATTCATTTACTATTACGAAGGGCTAGCGCTCGAAACATCAGCTCTAGAAAGTCTCCCCATTTGAGGGCATACTGCGCCATGTTTCTTAGTGTTGCTTGATTTCGACAGCGGTAGATGTCCTTGATGTCTCTATTCGTGTCAGAATCGGACAGGATGGCGTTTATTAGAGGCAGTAATGACTATGTATGCGAAAGCCATCTAGACTTCTGCAACTTTCCTGCAGGTGGTAAGGTGTTTTGAGGCGAAAAAATATAATATAATATAATATAAATGGAAGCTTTATGCGGATAGACCATCGGATATTACCTATTTACTAGCATGTCTATTTTTTTCCCAGAATCTCAAGTGAAGACTTTTTCTAAAAAAATAAGCAGGAATTCCACCATTTTTCAATGTAATCATTCAATAAATGAGTGTTTAACCGGCCAAGTTTAAAGTGCTTGAGATTGTTACAAGTTGGCCGTACTGCGCTGTTCCTATGTTTGTTTCTTTTGCCTGTTTGTTTGAATTTTTTTTCTATCCTCATATCATTTTCAGCTTACTTCTTCCCACAAAATAGGTGAGGTTTGATACCCAACGGCCATTCGTCCCGTATCCATATTAACAGTGATTTTCTGCAAATGATGGTGATAATGATAATGATGATGATTATTATCAATTTTCGTGTCGTAGTTGTGGTTGCTTCTACAGAGAAGCAAGACAGAGCAATCTATGCGTTTACGTGAAAGACATTTTCCCTTTGTTTTCATTCCTCAAACTACTAGATGCTGACCGTTAAAGAAAGAATTCAATTTTTCAATGAAGAGTATATCCTGTTTCTCTGTGTTAATGCGGTGTTAAAAGTATACTAAAAGGCAAGCATGAGTAACTGACTCGCGAGGAAGAGGCCAACTTTAAAGAAATAGATTAGACAGTGAAATGGAAAAGTTTTTGTGTTAAAACTGCCGAATGTCTGTGACAATAAAGACCCTACAACATTGACTTACTAAAAGAATTGTCAATGATAAACCTACCTAGGGGAGTGTAAACTAGTGATGAGTTATACCCTACCCTTAAACAACGAGTGCGAATAGATAAGAAGGAGTAATATATCACTTCAAAATAGAATCGAACTGACGAACTGTTTACAAGGTGAGTCACTTAGATATTATATTTAAAGAGTCATCTTGAAACAAAAAATACTGTAAGACATGGACTCAGAGTCTAAAATGAATGAACGATACTAATAAATTTAATACTTATCTGGTAAATGAATGATCGATGTTTTACATTTATTACGTCAGCTTGTGTTAATCTCCAAATTAGTTCAAAAGGGAAGATAGACAGCTCACAGGAAAGAAAAGAGAAAGATGGGGGGAGGGGAGGGGTGGGGAGGGGTGGGGTGGGGTGGGCTAGTTAAATAATTGTTCCATCTCTAAAGTCATTGATGACCAGGAGAAAAAAAACATTTTCAAACTACTTCCACGCAATAGTTGCAAACCCACTTTTCCCTGATTATGTTTGAAACTCCCCTAAGAATTAGTTATTTGAAAGTAACCTGAGCAATTGTCACTCGTTTTATTTTTCGTTGACCACGTAAACTGAAAAACATGACATCCATGGCAACGACGAACTACAAAAAAAAAAAAAGACATGGTCTAAGAGGATCTCTTACTTCTCTACTAAGTCTCCGGTGGACCCTGTAGAAATTTGGAAAAAATATTTTATGTCATGTGAGGCAAGAGATTATAAACTCTTGGTCATGGCTGGCACAAATATTTTCACAAACGGTTGAAAGTAGGCTGGTAGAGATTTTTATTCCTAGGGGTTGGTAAGAAAATGGATACTGGGGACAAAGTTGGTTTAAGTCCGCTGTGACTACGAAAACGCGTTATTGAAATGAACCATGACATCCATGGCAACGACGAACTACAAAAAAGGTCAACATGGTCTAAGAAGATCTCTTACTTCTCTACTAAGTCTCCGGTGGACCCTGTAGAAATTTGGAAAAAATATTTTATGTCATGTGAGGCAAGAGATTATAAACTCTTGGTCATGGCTGGCACAAATATTTTCACAAACGGTTGACAGTAGGCTGGTAGAGATTTGTATTCCTAGGGGTTGGCAAGAAAATGGATACTGGGGACAAAGTTGGTTTAAGTCCGCTGTGACTACGAAAACGCTTTATTAAAATGAAACAGCCTTGAATCTAAAACAAGAACCAAAAATGGGTTGCAATCAGGAGAGAGGAACAGTTCGCGCGAATGAAAGAAAAAAAATAGCAAAGTTGCATACATTTGAATTAGAAAGATATTCCAAGAGTGCGAAACAAGCGGGCTTAAGCTTTTGGACTCTTAAAAAGCATATTACACACGGTGCTCCCTCCAAAGTCCGAGAGATCAAGGAAGGGTATATGGTTGGACTTAAGACGTTCTCAGCGTAACTCCTTAACTGGCGATCACTTGGCAATATAATGCTCTAGGATGAAATAAGACCACAATAAGGGAGAAAAAGGTTACAACTACGAGCTGCCACTTTTTTTAAACTTTAACAAACTGCATTCCTTACTTATTGCATTTCACCTCCTTCCCCCAAAAGAGGGCTGTGCCTCTAATCGCTTATACTTATCTTGTGCGTACAAAAGATGAAATAGGGGAAGGAGGGAGGGGGGAGGGGGTGGGGGGTTGCTTATGGAAATGTGGGAGAAGACAGATGCCGTAAGAGTAAAGGGTGAATTTATTTTCATTGAGGCAGTTTAAATTAAGTATCTATAAAACTTCAATCAACGGCCTATCGTATATCATATACCAGACTTACACTTGTTATCCTATGTTCTACTTAAATATGTCCTTGCCGTTCTCCTTGAGCTTAAATATGTCCTTGCCGTTCTCCTTGAGCGATTGAGCAGCTAAATGATTAACTAATTTCGTCATCATATTGATGATAAAAATTATTTTTTTATGAGAGATGGAACGATAGCTTCTGCAAGAAAATACGTTTTCGCCTCCACTTTGCGCTCGCGTTTCTCCTTATCTTTCACTTGGTCGTTATCCCTTGTTTGACTCAGTCTAGTGTCCCTTAGCCACGGCATCAAGACAAAAAAACATAATACCATCCTGGTTAAAAAGTTGCCATCTTCCATTAACGGTCAGCATCTGGTAATTCAAGGAAAAAAGAAAGGAGTGTGCCTTTCAATCGGGCGCATATATCTATTTAACCTATTTCTCGTTTCTTAACAATATGACTTACGCAAATCAACTAGAACTAAATCTAATGCTCATTAGTGTCAAGAAAAAGTTAATAACAAATGAATGGCCAGAAAACAATTACTGTGAGAAAAACAGAAAAATTTTGATGAGAATAGAAGCTAAGGATGATAATTAGGGCAAAAAGCGAGGAATTCAAGGAGGCTTGAAACTCGCTCATGTCAATAAATCGATTACCTTTAAAAATGATGGAATTGCTGTCAATTTATATGAGTAAGTGAACACGTGAGTTTCTAGAAGAAAGCAAAAAAGTAGATCAGGAAAGGGTACAGAAAAGCAGCATCAACAACAATAGCAACATGGGGTCGAAATATATCATCAGTTCAAAATTAGTGCTTTTTTCTTCTAGTACAACTGACATTTTAAGACGTGACTTTTCTCAGAGAATGTTTATTTACAGAAAAGATCTCAAAAAATCAATTTCTGAT